ACAGGATGCATGGGAAAGGTGTAAGCAGTGGCAAATATCTTGTGAGGCTATCTGTAAAAACATTCCATGAATCATTGCTAGCTCCTGAAGTCTAACCTTACAGTAATAACCTTTCAAAATATAGTATATGAGTTTGTCCAGTTCAAATCTAGGGAAAGCAATAGAAGATAGCAAAAAGCAATAGCTATTCTCCCCCTAAACATAAGCAACTTTCCAGTCTTTTATCTAAAACATTAGAAAACCATTTCATATGCTGTAATTTGCAAGTAAAGTAAGTTGGTTTTGTGAAAAGATTTCCGACTTCAATCTTTATTTAGTTTTAGTTATTTGCCAATGTTTGATTTTCAGGTTAATTTGTGATTTTTCTTTGTTCTCATATTAATAAAATGGTGCTTTACATTTAAAAAATAATTTAATAAGTCTGGAATAAATTACAAATAGTAAGAAGCTTGCAGTATTTCATTTGTCTCCTCAAAGAATCTTTAAATTAAACTTAAAAAATAGAGAACTACATTAACTCATATTTAAAGGACTACAAATTCTGAGAAATCCTGAGTCATGCTTTGCAAATATTAATTACACTTTTTTTTACAATTCACTAGATTTTAAAAATGAAATGTATACTAAAGTTTTGCAGTGGACGTCTGCTTCCTTTTTATAACTATTTCTCATTCAACTTTTTGCTAGAGATTATTTGTATCATGGTAAAAAGCACTAAGATTCATTGCAGTACTGCTAATAAACTCTTATTTTTATTATGGAAACAAATGTAAATGTATAGACACTACAGAGTCGCTTCAAACCCTATGTTTTAAGATGCTTTAGAACTTGGTGTGTTATATTTTATCTACGTGCTGGACGTGCCTTTTAATAAAATACTACTTTTGAAGAAGTTCATGATGTGTCACCTATATTTTATATTAATTCCTCTCTTTGATCTGCATTGAATTTAAAGTCTTTATTATTTAAATGAATGGAAGTCACAAAGTATCAGAACAATTACACAGCAGCCCAAGGGCTGATCCCTTTCAGTGATGTGCTTCAATCCTGCCTGTCATCTTTTTTAGGAGGGATAAGGAATAAGTTTTCTAGTAGCAAAAGCCACCTGAAGAGCAAGACCCTTTCCCAACTGATCACCTAGTGCCAGCATCCAGCACAGCATGCTAAGATTTGGTCTACAGTTTGGGGAAACTTTCTATCCCAAACCCTTCCCTTCCTTGGCACCAGCCAGGTTTCCAGTGAGTGGCACAGGAGACTTGGATGTTAGCATTACAGAGGGCAAAGCTGCAAAGGGGAGGGCATTGGGGGCCAGGGTGAGGAGGAGGAGAAGAGGCAGGAAGGGAAGGGGTTACTGCCTGGGACAGCAGTGGACAGCAATGGTTTGCAAAACCCTCATCTGGCCTCCAGGCCACCCAGTGTGGCTCACCCTGACTTACATTTTACCACTCTTTTTGAGATGTGTCACTTACAGAAATTATTTCTGCGCTCTTCTTTCTAAAATTGACAGGCAAGCAGACAAGATATGTTTCTCTTTTCCTTTCTTAATTTCTGAGGTTTTGTGAGAGATTTAACCAATTAGATGTGCTTTTAATAAACAAATCTAGAGGCTCCTATTTTTTCTTTTGTCCCTAAAGCTGGAATGCTGTCCTGCAGACAATTGAAAACAGCCCAATCCTAATACATTAAATCTGTTTGTGCCAGTTTTAAGAACACATTTGGCCTCTTGTTATCAGCAGAAAACAAACTAGTCTGTAGAAAACAAATTACAGACATGCTTGGATACAGCTTGACTCTAATTAGCATAAAGGATCCTCTCAAAAGCATTTTTTTAAAAACTCATTATTCTGGTACAGTTTCTAAAAGGTTTGTGACTTTTAAGTGAGCTTTTAAAAGTGCATAATAAATGTAAAAATCTGGGATTATGACTCGGAATAACCTACAAAGTGAACAGCATTGTCAGAAGAGATGCTGCTTAGCTTGGTTCCCAGAGATTTGGACTTGAGACCTTGAACTCAGCAGTCCATAAAAGTGTGGCCTGATGACCACTGACGGCCCCTCAATCTGCAGAACCAGACAGAACAAGCTTTTAAGACGAAAAGTCTGAGGATACTGATTTGCAGGATTGACTATTGTGGATTGATCTGCAATCTCAGAAATGTTTTTTTAATCTACATGGTAAACTTTGAGATTTGAGCAGTTAGTGGGGCACTGAATTGACACCAAACTGGCTCAAATAGATATAAAATACATGTATGTATTTGTCCTTAAAATTGAAATAGAACCAAACCATGTCTCAGAAGTTTTACTGAACTTGGATCAGAACAGAAGTGGAAGACCTTTAGTGAGGGCTGAACCCAAATGGGACCAAAACAAAGAATTTAAGGACTTCTCTCCTTGGGTTTAAAGTATTAGGTCTGTGGGCCTTTATCCTGTACCTGTACTATATAATCAAAACCTGGCTTCGTTGCTAAAGATGAACTCAAAACACCAGTAGTATATTTAGTTTCCACTAAATAAATTTGCAGCACTAGTTATTAACTAGTGGAAGGAAAAGGAAATGCCAGATTTTCCCTTAATGAGATTTGGACCTCTGGTGCTGTCCTCTTCCTTCCTAGGCTTATCTGTTTCCTTTCACTGCTTTCCTTCTTTCTATCTCTGTTCAGGCTGCAAGCAAATACATGACTAAATGCTGACTGTGTAACTGCTGTAATTTCCTTGGGTGGAATCTGGAGTTGCTCTGTGCATATCCATATGTTTTGCTAACTTTCTAAGACATTCTTGGATAGTATAAAATTAAAAAACCAAATTGCCTCATCTGGCAAAAAGATACATTAAATGAAGTGATGTAACTGCTTGTTCTAATTTTCTATTTTAAAATGCAGCCACATTATCTGCAATTAAAAGCAGCTGTCAGGATTGCAATGATGAGATTCTCTGAAGTCTCCAAGTTTGGTCACTCCAATTCCAGATATAACACAGTTCCTTAGATCATGACTGAAAGAAATAAAAAAAAAGCAGCAGTGACAATCAGAAGTACAAGAAGGGACAAGAAGCTCTCAGTAGCTGTGTAGTGCTGTGCTGAGGAATGATCGTGTAGACATTTGTGGTGTCTCTGCTCCCCAGAGCTGCTCTGGACTGTTCACAAATGCATCTCCTCACAACTACTATTACAAATGTCATGGCTAGAAAATTTAAAACCACCTCAGCTGCACTTTGGCTACAACAGCAGCATACTTCTTGTCTTGGAGTCACCGATGATGAGTTACTTGTGTGGCTTCCAGTGTTGTCAAATATGTTAAAGCACTGCTCTGAAACAACCCAGAGGAGCATTTGATATTTTTATGTCTGCATTCCTAGAAGACTAACATGTGCCTGAGACAAAAAAAATATTTACCTTGGTTTATCAGACGTATTGTAATATTATTTATCAATTATTCACAAGCAATTTAAACCCCTGTATCCAATTTATTACCTGCAAATAATTACAGATAAAAGTGTTATGTCATCAAACCAAAACACTGCTTGAAAACTGCCAAATAAGTAGCATCTCTGCAGAAGGTGGCCACATGACATGTGTATCCATTTTTTAAAAACATTTCTTAAAACCAGCATACAAACTTTGCCTTTAAGGCTGATTTACATTCTGTGTCTACATAAATTCTCAACTGTCAGCCACAGGAAAATCAAAGGAAAAGGATTTAAGATTCTTGAGTGTGGCTGCCTATCTTTATGCAAAATCTTGTAGATAAATATCATGTTAAGCATAGGCAGAACGTGAACTCTACTCTTGGCTACATTTTTCCATGGCAAGTATTTCTTGGGTACAGTATCTAGGAAAGGCACGTAAAGGTTTCCACCACCAGCTTCCAAATACCCTTAAGTATTTCAAATACCCTTAAATTTGTACGATTAGTCCAAACAGAGTGTACAAATGGGATTCACAAGGTGATGACGTTTCTAGCAGCAGTGCAGCAACCACCTTTCCTGCTTTTCCAGAGGGTAGGTATTAGCACGCTGTGCAGACCACAGCCAGCTTGCTGTGCCTGCCTGCAGCTTCAAAGGTAGTACGTGCCAGCACTGGAAGATCTTTTTTTTTCCCCTTTCATCGCCATTGCGGTCCCGACATGAAAGAAAAAGGGCTGACACCACGCAATCCCGTGTGACACCTGACACCTATGCAAAGATGGAAAAAAGTTATTTCATGATGTGTGAGTGAAAGTGACACTGCCTCATTTTTACAGTGCTGTGAATCACCGTCTTCTCTTTTCTACTGTATTTCACTTCCAGGCATCCGTATAAAATTAAGTGAATAATACAGTATTCAGTAATAGAGGAATAAAACAACAAGAGTGTGCACAGCAATGTGGTAGACACAGGCCAGCTCTTACTTGAACAAATTATTTTCATCTGTTAAAGTTTGTTCATTTTTAGGCTGTCCAGGTGAGAGTAATGAAGCCAAATGTGTACAGTATTCGATATAATACTGCTCTGTGTTTGATATGAGGATGCCAGCACCACGATGAAGTTCAGTTTAGCGCATACTCAAAAATAGGAACCAGTGTGCCTAGAGAGTAATGAGATCAGCTGTTTCTAATGTCATTAAAACTCTAATTTCGTCATTTCTAATTTAATTTTAGACACAACCCCTCCCCTCACTAAACACCCCACCGCCCTGACTCCTGAGAGCGCAGCAGGTCCTCCGAACTCCAGGAAAGGCGCCTCCTTGGCGGAGACACCTCCCGCTCCCGCCCTCGCCCCGGCGGCGGCACCGAGCAGCGGCAGCGGCGGCGGCGGCACCGGGCGGCGGCGGCACCGAGCAGCGGCGGCCCCGCCGGGCCCCTTCCCCAGCCGCGGCTACTGCCGCCCGGGCCCGGCTGCCCGCAGCTGACATGGCGGCCGTGGGCCCCTCCCGCGCTGGCGGGCCGGGAGCGGCCGCCCCTCCTCGGCCGGCCCGCAGCAGGGCGGCGGCGGCGGCTTCCGGCCGAGCCCTCCTGCCTTCAACAAAGATGGTGCTCCCCGCGCAAGCTCCGCGGGCGCCGGCGCGTCCTGGGTAGCTTCCCGCTCCCCTCGTGTAAGTACGGGGCGGGAGCCGCGGGCGCTCCCCGCACACTGCTCGCTCCCCCGGGCGCTGCCGACGGCTCCACTTGGTTCGTCCCGTCCCGCCCCAGGCGCCGACGAGGGGGAAGCGGCAGAGCGGTGCCGTGGAGCCGGTCGGGGGCCGGGGCAGGGGCCGGGCTTCGGCGGGGAGGCCGGGCCGGGCCGGGGCGGCGGGGCCGCCTCCACTGGCGCAGCCCTGCCCGGCGGGAGGCCGGGACGGGAGGAAGGCCGGGGGCTGCAGCTGCCTGAGGGGGCTCGGGCCGCCGTGCGGGCAGCTGGCCCTGGCTGTTACCGGAGCAGCAGCTGCCACTCCTCGGCAGGGAAGACGTTAAAAGCAAAACTTGCTGCTTCTTTTTTTAATTTTTTTAAATTTTTTTTTATTTCTGGCGGGGTGGGGGGATGTGTAAGACTTTTGACCCACAGGCTTGCTGTGAGAGCCAGAATAATTCATGGGTTAGGCAGGTGAGTGCAGTGGGTGTTCCAGAAAACCGTGAAATGTGTCTAGCAAGAAAAGTGAGTGAATGTGCCTTTTTAGTGTCAGAAGGGGTTCTTATCAAAAGTTTTGTCCCCCTTCATGGACAGTTACTCTGTCAGATCCAGAAAAATGCAAACCTGCTTGTGTTGGTGTGGGGATGAGTCAAGGACTGTGCTCATTCAGCAGGTCATGGGCTATATTTCTTAAAATTTGGCTTTACAATGGAAAAGGTCAATTTTGAGACATATCTGGGGAATGCTTGAGTCATATTTTGGGTAAATGGACATCTCATATTTTTCATTTTCTGTGAAATTACTCGACTAAATTTAATTCAGAGCTTACTTTGAACCCCTAGATACAGGCTGTGATTAAAATGAACTTGTTAATTCTGTGTTGCACTAAAGCTGTTGCACTCTGTCCCAACACTGTTACACATCAAAATCCTGATACATTTCCATACCTAGCTGCTTAGTTCCTAACTCAGACATTTGATTCTCACAGTAAACACACACAAAGAAATACTTTATCTTTAAAAAGACCTTAGAAATCAGTATGCCCCATCCTGGAAATTTACCAGGCCAGTGCCAGGACTTTTAAACCCTCAGTTGTGTGCCCTCTGCAGTCAGCAAGGCAAAGGGCTTTTACAGCAGAAATTCTCCCTTCTGATTCCTGGCTTGACAAGCATTTCTCAATGCTCAAAGGTGCAAACCTTTGGTTTGTAAGAGCTTTATTTTTGAAAAGTGTTGGCTGCTTTGGTTGGGAAGAAGACGAACTTGACAAGTTCTGTACAGTCATCCAGCATGTGAGGAGGCTCCTGAATGGGGACTCTTGGGGCCCATTCAGAATGTGAAACACAAAAATTCTGTAGTATCTGAAGCAGTTTTCTGCCTGGGTTTAGATGACACCCTCAGAGGTGCTGCTGGATGCCTTTCTTGAACTCTGCAAGTGCTTCATGAGCTCAAGGGTGTTCTCCTAGAAGGAAGAAGTAGTAGGATTTACTGCCTGAATTTTGCTCTAGTCCAGAGATTGCTTTCTGTAGTGTAAAGGTTCTATGTGTTGGAGACCAGAATCTTCAGCTTCACCTGTCCAAAATTAGCAACCTAACATCAAGTGGGAAAATCCAGTTCTCTTTCCTGCCTGCTCTTTTTCCATCTCCTTGCTTGCACTGCCTCAGTCTATGATGGAGTTTGATGTTTGAACTGTGCTTGGCAAACTAGCATTTCTTAGGGACATGGGCTGGCATAGCAGTGTTTGATTCCCACATGATCCCTAGACAGAAGGTAAGCACCTTGAAATTCACTTCAGTAGATGAGAAATGCACTGGGTAGCCCAGGAAAGATGGAGTCCTCCAAGAAGATGCTTTCCAGCAGTGCTTTTGACACTCGATGAAAGCATTTTTGGAAAGTGGCTTTGTTAGAGGATGTCAGGGTGAGACAGGGTTTTCCAGTCTCTCTCTCATGACTCTGTGCTCTTGCATTCTCTCCAAGGTGCTGTTTACATGCCAGTATGTTCTGTTGGTCACCCTCCTGGATTTTAACAACCAGGCCAACCACACAATTTTGATGGGGCCCTGGGAGTCAGCAGGCACCTCTGATGTAAAAAGACCTCATCAGCTTTCATGCAAGAGCTTTGAAAATTCTGTCTCTCCTTGCTTGTATCCTCTAGCTGAACAAAGTAGAGTTTCTTCAAGGTCTAGTGGTTCAAACAGCAGTGTCTAGTTTAGTTGTGAGAAACCCTCTTGGTAATCACACTCAACACTTGCTGCTATTTTTTGACTTCATTATTTAGTAATGAGAAGGTATTTAATTGTGTTGTCCTGTCATTTTCTTTTTCAAGTGCCATTAATGGGCCCAGGGATATGTTTGTCATTAAGGACTGGGCGAGACACTTTGATTTGAAGATCTGGCATGGACTGCTGACTTGATCTTGGATGAGCTGTTTGGTCTTTCTGGACCCTGATTATTCTTTTGAAGAGTGGCTATAAAATGCATCTTTTTCAGTTTTTGTCTAGTCAGAGTGTTAGTCAAGTGACATAGAATCTGGCAGAGGGCATCTGATGCCTTCCTGTGAACACATTAGAAGAGAGGGAGAAGAGCTATTTAAGCTAAGGAACAGTTTTGGCAGAAGAAATGCTTATAAATAGAAGGGGAGAAATTTGAGGTGGAAATTCAAAGAAAGTTTATTCTCATCAGAACAGTTGAGTTCCAGAGCTGTCTTCCAGGATGATTCAGGGGTGAGAATGACCTGATACCTAAGGTATGTTTCTACCCCTCTTAAACTTGAATTGCATCTTGTAGGCCAAAGCTACCTGCTGATTCTGTCCCTGCTGCTTCTGTACTGCTGCTGTTTTTGTAATTGTATCAGTGGTCAGGTGTGATATCTCTTTAATTTTGGGAGGGTTAGTGTCTCTTAAGGACTGGCAAGTACCCTAGCTGCCTTTAGTATGGACCTAAACTAGCAGGATTATTTGGCATGGGTTTCACTCCAGCAAAGGACTGGTTTTTGCAATGCCAAATGTTCTATTTTTGTCTAGTATTTCCCAGAAACTGGATCATTTTACCTTGTGTGACAGTGAAATCTGAGTGGAAAGAAGATGATGGGGGACCATTAGTAGTTTTGCCAGGTTGGTGATTCTGAGTTTGGTGTTTTCTCTGAAGGTTGACAGGTGTCAGACATCACTTTTAGATGTTCAGAAATCACTTCTGGATGTTAAAGGTTGAAGTATTTTAATCTTCACACATTTCCTTACTCCTTTTTGCACACTCTAGGTTGCCTGATGGATGCCAGAGACAAGCAGCTTTTACGCTCCCTGCGCCTGGAGCTCTGCACAGAGGTGCTGGTGGATGGACTCGTTATTCAGTATCTCTACCAAGAAGGGATTCTCACAGACAGTCATGTTCAAGAAATAAAAGCCCAAACCACTAGTCAGAGGAAAACTATGATGCTCCTTGATATTCTCCCCACCAGAGGACCCAAAGCTTTTGATGTGTTCTTGGATTCCTTGCAGGAGTTCCCATGGGTTAAGGACAAGCTGATGCGGAAGCGTAAGGAAATGACAATACAAGATCCTTCAGGTAAGGCCAGGGTTGCTGTTGCTGCTATTTTGAAGCTTGTTCTCAAGCCATAATTTCAAAAGTGTTGAATATACCAGTAATTTCAAGTCATGTGTCATGTAAACTCATGATACCAAGAAAAGGGAACAGCCTTAATTTCCTGGAAGCTACTCAAACACCAGGAAATATTGCAAAGTTTGAGACATGAACAGGGCTGAGTTTCAGGACACAAGGAGACAGCAGGAAAGGCTACCTTGGGAGAGGCTAGCATATAGGAGGACCCATAATCCATTGCCTCAAAGGGAATGGGCTATGAAAAGTAATTTTGACTAGCTGCAGAACAGTGTCTTTGCCATCCATATCAAATACTGTTTCATTTATGTTAGTTTTACAGTGGTTTGTTCAGGAATCATTTATATTTACAGAGTTTTTATTTGTTTACTTTTATTATGATTTTAATGTAATTTTTATTTAGTAGTATATGCTAATTTAGATTTATTTAGTTTATTATATTTAGTGGAGTGCAAATATCTAGGATCATTACTTGCAAAATTACTAGCCGTTGCTTATTTTTAAAAGAAATTTAGGAGCTAACTGATTATTTACTATAATCTATGGCTTTTTGGCATTTAAATGTACTTCTAAAACTAGTTTTCTAGACTAGATGTTTGTTCAGATGTGATTTCTTTACCAGTTTATGCATGCAATTGCTGAGCTGTTTTGAAGTCAAGACAATTGCTTTAAATGCACATTTCTGGCAGCATGCACTGGCTGCTAACCTCATGTTACCAGCAAGGTAGTGAAATAGTCCTCACTTGGGAACATTTTTTCCAAGCAGTCTGATCAATGTTTCTCCAAGCCCTTCCCTCCTGCTGTACCCCCATTGGAGTGTGGTCATACCTACTTTGATGCACATGACATGTGATTTTTCCAGTGTCAGTGTGCTTTGCGTGAGACTGAAAGCCTGTGAAGAAGGGTGGCTAAGACCTGTTGACCATCATGTCCACCTGCGTCTCAGTTAGCTGCATGTTCAAGAACATTTGTCAAGATCTGCTGGACAAATCTGAGATTATCTTACCTTAGGACATTTTTCATGGAATATTCTGACAGCTGGTCTTTCTGTTGGTCTCTGTGTACGTTGGTGTGTGTGTGCTTGGAGATGAGTAAATAATTTTCAAAATTTGGGAATAAACGTCCTGTGCTGCCTAAAAGTTCTCAGCATAATGCAAACTATGGCATTGAGTGTGCTGGAAAAGGCCTTGCTTACTTAAATACTGTCATGCTAGTGCTCTTTATTTGCCTTACAAATCAGCCTCTTTATTTGATAATTGCTGTTTAAGCTGCTGAATAATCTTGTGTGTGTTCCAGACATACACAGCCATTAAATACCGTCGGGATCGTGTAGTTTGTTACCGAAAAAATTGTTACCAATTTTTGTCCTTTTGGTTGTTTTGTGGATTGCTTGTTCCTGCTCTTGATCACTTGTGACTAGTGTGCTGGATTTCTGCATATCAGGTTCTCTGGTTTTGAGTGGGCTGACAGTACTTGATAGTCCTATTGCCAAATTGTGTTAATTAGAAAAGGCTTCCAGGTTAGATCAAAGGTTACTGTTACTTTTATGGTGGCAATACAGAGAGTAAGAACAGGATAGGAGGCAGAAAGCCAAGTTTGTTTTAATATTTAGGCATGTTCTTTGGAAACCCAAGAAAGAGAGCACCATCTGTGCCCTCATAAATGCTGAGTGCGCCCTGGAATGAATTGGAAACTATGGTGGCAGCATCAGGGCTGATTACATGCAAGAAAATGTGGTTTGGGATAAAAAGCTTCGCTTTGCATTCTAACAACAGACTTGGAAGCTTTTGTCTTGGCGGAGTACACGAACATATGCTTAGCCTTAAGCATGGAAAAAACCATTGGCTCTAATAAAACTATAAGCACATTTAAAATTAAGTGTGTTCTCTAGTGCCATGCTAGATAACTTCTGCCTTATTGGAAACTCCTCTTCTAACTGATTATTTGTCAATGGTAATTTGTTTTAAAGAAGCCATTTGTGGTGAAAAAAGCTTGCCACATATACACTATTCTTCTTTTAGACCCTAAAACTTTTAAAATGGAAGTTGGTTTTAAGTCCCCAGATTTTAATTTTTTTTTCCTTTGGATCATAAATACTATGGAAATGGAATGCTTTCTAATCACTTGCTTATGGTCACTTAAGATTCTGCTAAGGAAAATATCCTCTGTTTTTACAGCCCGTTTTGCAGGACTAAGGAGTGGTAGTAAATTGATCCTTGATGGAAGGTTTTATTTTCATCTTTTGCTTCTCTGAGGTTACATGTAGGATTTTTCAAGTTAGTAATTAAATAGACTATTAGATTATGTCCATCTGAACCTGAAAACTGGGATGTACACAGTGATTTTTTTATGTAGGCCTTTGAATTATTTTGCATTTTATTCAAAGAGATCATGCTTTCTGTCCTTCCTACAGCTGAGAAGTATAGTTGGTTAAAGAAAATCACAACCATAATTTTTTAGAAACTTTTAGTTTATTTTCTTTTCCTAGTAAAAAACAAGCCCAAACCGACAAATCAAACAAACAGCAATTTCAGAAAGAAAAATATTTTTGTTGATATTGTATAAATATGATCTGGTGGACCAAGCAACTGCAAAATGGAAGCCAAAGTCTGAGATCTAGGCAAGATGCTGCCACTGACTCATTGTGAATCTTTGAGCAAATTCTTTCAAGGCAATGGATTTATTGATTCCCAAGTTGTGTAACTCGGTGTAATGTTCATGGAACAGCATAGAGTAGAGCTGTAAATTGGCCCAGGATTCAACACAGACTATGCTGTTTGGCTGCTTGCAAATAAATGAACTTTAAAACCTCTGATATCCTGAGTTTTATTGCTGAATGTCAGTTGACTTAAAAATAATAGTTCTGTATTCTGTCATCTGATGTAGTTCCATTGAACACAGAAGACCTTAATCCCACAGAGCACAAGGAATAATTTTTCCATGAGAATCAGGAGGGTGATGTGCAGGCAGATAGGGCCACTTGCATCTGTGTAACTGAAGCAAAGAGACTCAAGATTTCTTCCCCTTGCTTGTTTACTTCATGCAAAGACAGCCTTTTGCCTAGGGTCCCCTTTCTCGTAAGGGAACCCTCATTCTTTTTTCATAACCTGGGGAAAGCATAGTTGTAAAACTCCAAAATCTCAAGAAGGGAGTTTAAAGTCATGTGCTTTTGGAGGTAAGTATTTATGACTTGAATTGATTTAAAGGTGATAGGGTATCTTTCTGGCTTGTATAACAACCTGTGATAAGCCAGTTCACCCTGTGCAGAGTGGCATTGCAAGACTTAATCATTATAAACATCAACCACAGCATGAGTTTCTGGTTTTGAAGATCAAAACTTCTGCCATAGTAAGAGTTAACAAAAGTAATGTGTGTCTGTTTCATTGGGAAATGACTGTTCTGGTTTTTCTGCCCTAGTTTGGATAGCTTTATGCCTTTGTCAGGAGCATAAATCTTCAATATAGTCTTATAATTCCTATGAAAAACTACAGCTGTTGGCAACAGAATTCCCTTCTTTCTAGGAACAGCAACAGTTACCCAATATATTTTGCACTGAATTAAAAAAAATACAAGTTTTGATGGTGTTTGTTTATCAGATTGTTTTTCTAATCTCTCTCTGCTTGGGAATTTCTCAGCCCAAGTATTCTATTTCTCTCCATAATATATGTGCTGTAAAATAATTTACTTCTAAAAGTGTTAGTACTGCACCTCTTTGTAGTATAGATGACTTCTTCATTCCACAGGAAATTGCAGCATACTGAGAACAAAAAAGTGAGATACGGTGTTTGCCAAAGGAGTCCTAGAGCAGCTGCTTCTATCTGGCAAATGTCAGTGAATTTAGGGCATCAGAATTGCCATGGGAAAGCTGTACTCTCACAACTAGGCAGGGAATATTTTCTAATGCATAATTTTGTTGTGGTACCTGGTAAACATTAGCGTCCTGCTAGACTTGGGTGTTCATTCGAACAAATTTTAGCCTGGTTGAGGTTTTTCCCTGGATGTGTGGGGAGTGTGTGTTGTTGTATAGCTGTAGAAATCTTCATGTTGTTTAACCCTTTGGATGAAGCATGCAGATACAAAGCAAAGCAAAACATGTACATATCCCAAGAAAGCCAAACTTCCCTCCATCCCCTGCCAGCCTTCCCAAAGTCCTTTTTCCACTGCTGGGTTGTGGATTTCTAAGAATTTGGAATCAAATGCAAAAGCATTAGTACATAATTTTAGTATCTCTTCTTACCTTTTGTTGGCTGCTTCCTGCCTTCTTCCTATCCTGCTTGCTCTCCCATCTAATGCAGTAAGGAAACAGCCTGATCTCTTGCCTTTTCCATTTAGATGTCAGATAGGAAAAGCAGCTGAGGAATCCCTTTTCTCTCTCTAAAATCATGGACAGAAGTCTGTAGTTTTTTTCCTTTCTTCTCTTTCCCTCCCCTCTCTTGTATAGTCTAGTGGCAGAAGGGGGAGTTTCCTCACATGTATGTATGAAGGAAAGGGATGGGCTTAGCAGTCTTGGCCTCACTTGGTTGACCTGGAGATGAAGGAATGCCTTTGTGCCACATCCTAATGCCTGGAGGCTGCAGGAAATGTCCTCTGGTTATCTGGAGCTGTTCAAAGGCATCCTCAAAGGAGAATTTCCCAAACTCTTTTCCACATTCCCATCTCCCCTGAAAATCGGGTGTTACATTTATGGCTTTGGCTGTGTTCCTGACCGCAGTGAGATCTGTGAAGTCTGGCAGTAAAGGTTTGTGCACACACTCAATATGAACCGTATGCATCGTGACATGGACAAGTCATTGACATCTCTGGTACTATGGAGCATTCTATGTATGTATTTTTGGTTTAATATGTGTATAGATTTTTTTTCCTTCTTTTTCTTTCAATTTAAGTAGCATCTGCTTGCTTTATTTTTTTGTCATGTTCATAAGTAGCTGGCTTTATGCTGCTTATATCCT